GCGCATGCGCTACCGGAAACCCGGCTCCCCCCGACCCTTCCCCTGGCGGGTGGAGGCGCCAAGAGGCGCGCGCATGCGCACGGGGAGGCGCCCCGGGCCGGGCCGGAGCGCTCGCTTTTGCTGGGGGAAAAAGGGTGACCAGAATTCATAGCCGTGAACCCGCCGTGGCGGGAAAGCTGCGCCCCACGGGTCTGTGCTTTGACGACGCTGTGGGCAACCAGGCCCTTGCCGCCGTGCCAGCTGGCTTCAGCTTCTCCAAAACGAGTAGTACCGGCAGCTGGACCACTCTTGCTTCCAAACCTCGTGGCCGTGCACGTCTCGCCTAAGTGCACAGCTCTGTATTTCTGTACTGCTTCGTGTTGATACGCTATGTCTTCACCACATAGCCAGGCGCTACCACAGAACTGCCCCTCACACAGGTCCCTCGGACATCGTCCCTTCTTCCCGGTCCCGATTACCAGGTTTCAGAACACAAGAGTCAAGCACAACTACTCTCAAGGCTCATCGTTATCTATTTGTGAAGGATGGTGCAAGTCTCCTGAGATCACTGTGAGTCTCTCAAACTCCTTAAGTGTCTTATGTTAGCTCACAAAGTTATCAACAAGTAGTAATGCCTCCCATTTACAATTATACCTCCCTTTTACCCAGAATTGTAGGTTAAAAGGTCCAAGGTGTTTTTTTTCTTTTCCAAATAAAAACGAGTTGTCATTAAGAGAGCCTCTGTATTTGAAAGATGAGAATGCCTTAAAGCTGCTTTAACAGAAAATTTTACAGGGCAAACCAAGTTACAGTGGGAGCAGCTAGTGGAAAACGTATCCCATATCAAAAGGAGCCATTGAGCTTTACAAAATTGATTCACTATGCCACCTTGCTTTTATCTTTATTCCTTAGTTACAATTATTCTGATCCAGCTGAAGCTATTGGGGTTTTCTGCAAATCACTTGGAAAGGTACATCTGGTTTATTGGCTTTCAGGAGATGTAATGCCACTGAAGCACTGAAATAAACCCTGTTTGAGGTAATGCACTTCAGATGAGGGAGCCCAACCAGCTGTCACAAACCAGCTTGGCCTTTCCACATAGCTGCAACATGAAGTTTCCTGTAAGGGCTAAAATAACACTGTATTTCTCTCCCTCTTGCAACACCAGTGAAGCTCTATTGCTTATCATCACAGGTAGTGCCTTAACACATTTGTCTTCCTCTTTGTCCCAGCTGGTCTTTCCTGCAAAACTGCCCTTTTTTCAGGTGTGGTGGTAAAATTATTAATATTTGAGACGTCTAAGAAGTTTATCCTAACTGAAAGAACATTCCTTTCAACTAAAAGCTGTGATTGCTGTCAACTCCCCGCTTCTGAGCTAAGATAATACCAGCTGTGCCACTCCCACAGGCTCCACCAAGAGCCAACCCTCCCTAGTGTCACCTTACTTACTGTTTGACTGGGGAAGTTAGCAAGCTACTTAACGAGTCCATCCCTCCCAGGATGGACAGCTGTCTTCCTTAACATCAAAATTATTGTTTTTTCTCACCTCTTTTCTGAAACAATATACAGGTTGGGTCTCTGCAATCACCTTGAGAGGGAGATGCTGCCTAAATGTACTCTCACTGTAATCAAAGTTAATAACACCTCTGCCTGACCTGCCTGAAATTGTACTTGTGTTATTACACACCTGGAGTCCCCAGATCTCCACCACAGGTTAATCATCACAGGATCTATTTATCAAAAAGATCCTCATTAATAAAATCATCATATGCACCTAATGTTTATAAAACACACAGCGTTAATTAGAAATATCTTTTAATTTACACTAAACAATAGAAAATTATTGAAGCTGTAAAAATCCACTGTCCCAATCAAACAATAAAAAGAATATTTAAAAAAAAACCAAACAAAAACATCACCACAGAAATTGATGTTGCCCATCACTAAACCTTCTGAGAGTCAAGAACAAGTTTCTCCATCTTGTTTAGAAGTTCACAAAAAAAAAAAAAAAAAGAAAAAGTCACATCCACATTTCTGCTAAAAAACAGAAACATGTTGAAAATTTCCAAACTGGGTAGAGGGATTTTGAAAAAACAAACACTTGAGCCACTGGAAAAAGGCTTTTCAGATTCTTTGGCTCTCACAACGCAGGCGTCCTTACAAACACACATATGGAATAAACCAAAAGGACTATAATGATCTCCAGTCTGAATGCACCTGTAGATGACACAGCCCTGGAGTACCCAGGATCCACAACTCCCTTTACTCAGCCAGGAGCTGGTCAGAGGGCTGAGAAACTGTCAAAGTTCCCAGGTTCTTCTGTTCAGATAAAAGGGTTGAGGGTTAACTTTAGTACTGGAAGCTGCGTTTAGTCTGAATGTCGTCAAGAATCTGTTGTAATTCTTCATCTTCAAATCGACCCTCCAGGCTGAAAGGTAAGAACAATGAGAATACATTGAAGGTTTTAGAAATAATTCCCCCCCGGATTCATTTCAGTCAGTCATAATTCTCTCCTGTCAGCCTCTACACACACCATCATCACCCACCTGTACAGTACTGCCAGGAACCATCTACAACATTACTGTACAAGTCCCACTCTGAGCCCCATGCAGTGCCTCCTCTTTAAATGACAAAATTCCATCCTGCCCAGAACTTTCTGCTGAATAATTTCAAAACGTTTTATAAAAAAGGCGGGGCAGGTGCAGGCTTCAACAGACCTCTAAATGAAGTCCCTGTAGCCTCATGTTCATAAGCCAGTTCAGTCTTGCCATGAAATTTTAGCATATAAGGAAGAAACTGTAATTCAGATGAGCGTTTTGTTCCCTCCCCTATCTCAGGCCATGAGGTAACAAATCAAGATACTGCTCCCCTGTACATTATCCACAAAACAGTTCACAGGAGCACCGTCATTTACTCCAACAGAAAACAAAACCAAACCACACCTGGGTGGGCTAAAAACCCCAATTTAAGCGGTTTTCGCTCAATCCAGTAACTGTTGTTGGAAGTGCATTAGGGACACTTAAAAATAGTGCCTCAATGTCAGATCAATGGGTAGATGATGAAAGACCAAGACCAGAAGTTTTTCTGTCAACAGAGCTGGATTGAAGAGAGGGCATCTGCCCATAGCTGGCTTCAGATCACAGAAAAGTATTAATGGTATGTAAATGCTCACCTAGGAATCAAGGCTTTTGCTTCCTCAGCTGTCTCAGGACACAAGTTAGCCAAACATGCCAATTCAAATTTATGGAGCTTTTTCTGGAGCAGCAAACTGTAAGGAAAGAAAACAACTTGGTGAAATTAGAAGTAAGATCGAAATATAAAAGGGCATAAACTAAACCAAACAGATATCTTGTTTCACTCTACTTTTGGCACTGAAGGCAATGTTTTTTTCAGGAAGACTCACTATGTAATTGCATTGAGAAAAAAAAAGTCACATCTAACTCCACTTCCCCCAAGTTACTCCACCAGGTCTAGAAAATCCTCCCATTTAATGCAACCAGCTGTCATTTAAATAGTGAAAACAAAGCAGTTCAGAAGGCCTCCATGAAGAATTACGATCAAATTTCATGGCTCTTCAGAAAAAACAGATTCAGAATTATAGTACAAATCAGGAAACACCACTAAACTGTACCTTCATAAAGCAGCACATTATAGTCCAAAATCACCAGTATAGTCTTACACCCTAACTTTTCCACTCACCTACGGACACTGGCAATGGTTTCACGGTTTTTGAAGCGGCTGAAGCGTGCTGTGTAGTTCAAGGTTTTCATGAAGACTTCTGAGAGCTCCTGCTCATCTTCTGCACTCTCATTCTGCTGCTTACGATGCTCAAGCAGCATATGGACTTCTGAATTTAGAAGAGTTTCCGCAGTTTCAAATTCTACATTTGAATGAATGAACACCAGCATAAAAAAAGGTGACGCATGGATGAAAAAGTGCACTTATAAAAATTTTGCATGTAAATTTAACTTTGGGCAGTAAGGAAATGAAGTGTGTTTCACAGCAATTGTGCAACCCCTTTCACCAATGATTGGGCAGCATTTCGTACTGAAAATGCCAATAAAAATTACACCATTTTGATTGACAATCTAATCTGTTTGTCTTTTTGACCGCACATTTTACATTTGCAGCCCTAACTTTCTGATTTGTCACATTTTTGCAGTATGTTGTCTTCACCCATTTCTGGCAGAACTTAAGTAATGTTAGAAAAAAAATTGCTTTAGAAAAATAATGTTAGAAAAATATTTGCTTTAGAAAAAAGTACTTAGAACTGTAATACACAGAAAATTCAGAAGTGACGTCTTTGGGCTTTGGAAGCCTCCGAGTAAACATGGACACGGCGGAATGTTTTTTAAAAGGCTTCATTTACTTAAAAGGTTAATTAACCTACTGGAATTTTATTACCAGAAAAAGTTTTAACCAATCTTGATAGATTTTCACCCCCTTTTTAGCCAACTCCGTTCATCATCATGATCACAATATTTATTCCATTGACAAGGTCTTTTCAACATCAGCAGTATGAGCTGTTCAGAACAGCAGGCTGAGGCTGCATCCCGGGGTGTCCTTCAGCACTGGTTTATAAAAGCAGGCAGACATGGGGCAGTGCTAGAAAGGGTCTGGCAACCTTTATTTTGCATGGACTGGTAAAGGAACTTGGGCTGAACATGTATAGATTTTAGTGTAAAAACCATCCAAAACCCAGCCTTTTGGGACTATGCTTTTGTTCATAACTCAAAAATGCAGCATTATGCTTTTTGTTTGTTTTTTGTTTTGTTTTTCCCCCTCCTCTTCCAGGGCCGCTCTGAGGCATAAATACAGCTCTGGAATTTGTTCTGAACGGTTTTCTGAAAAATACACACAGACACTTAGTGACCCTAGTTACAGCTCAGGCTCTGGACTGCTGGTTTCCTAAAACGCAGCACTATACTAACGTCAAGAAACATCAGTGAAAAAGTAATGGTTATATCAAACCGCAAGAATCTTTTCGCTATAACCTGACA